TAATATATAAGATAAAAGGCTTAGAGAAGTCTAGAAAAGCTAAGGTAAGAGCTAAATATAGATAGTCTTAAAGAGTCTTAAACGTATCTTTATATTCTTAGAGAAGTATCTTATCTCTATTAATAGACTTTAGAAAAGTCTTTTTCGTAGTATAAGTCCTACAAGGCGTCTTTTTAATAAGACTACCCTTGAAGCTTATAGTCTTAGCTATTTAAAGCGGTCTACTAATAGCGGTATAATAAGGGATAAATTTATAGTAATACCTGAAGAACCTTAAGATTATATCTAACTCTTATAAAGTACTAAGGAACTAAATAGCTCTAATAGCCTCTACTTTTTCCTTTACTATACTTATACTTAGCTAATCTACCTAATAGCCTAAGGCCTTAATACCTAGTTAAGTAAAATAATATTTAGATAGCGATAGTATAACTCTTAACTAGTATAAGAGAGTTAGTATAGTACGAAGGTCCTTAATATAAGTATTAATATCCTTCGAGAAGATAATAATATTGTTAATATAGACTAGAATAAATTACTAGAGGTATTTACTAAAGAGTTTCTTTATATAATATTAGAAGAACGCGAGAGAATTAGTAAGGCCTATAGTACTAACTATAAATTATTTATAACTATGATATTAAGTAATAAAAGCTATCTTCTATCGATCTTCTTTAAGTATAAGCTACTAGAAAAAGCTTTTTATAACGTTTAAAGCTAAAAAGACTGAAGTACTATTTATAGCTAATAGAATATTATCTTACCTTAGTAGAAGATAAGTATTTAGAAATAGCTTAGTATTTACGCGGCGAAGATTAATAATAACTCTAGGCTTATTATTATAGTAGACTATAAACGCTAGTAATACTACTAGGTAAGGCTTCCTTAGTAGAACGTCCTTAATAATACTTATAACTTTAAGAGGGTCTAGAATTAAATCTATATTCTGTTTATTCTTTACTAATATATTAAAGAGTACTTACTTGAGATCGTTTAAAGGTACGCTTTCTTTAAAAGGAATAAGTATCTTAATACTATTATTAAACTATTCTAATTCTTTATAAAACAAAGGGCTATTATCACAGATTACTTCTAGAATCTTCTAGTAAGCTTCCTCTCTTTATATTTTAGATATATAAGCCTCGGAAATATTAATATACTCCTCTATTAGTAATACTAGAAATAAGTAGCTATCTAGAGTCTTTTCTTCTTTATCTAAGCTAAGAAGTTCTAAACCTTAAAAGACTTCTATAAAACTTAGATAGACTCTAGTAGGTTTTAAGTTATTATTAATATAGTCTAGTAGTTCTAGGATTTATTCGTGTATTATCTTAATAGAAGTGAGGCTGAAGTTAAAGTAAGAGATAAGCGCGGTATAACTATTTATAATACTTTTAATAAGGGATCTGAATATATTAAGAGCAGAGTTACCTTAAGATTTAGGTATTATTAAGTACTTGTTTTAATATATTAAAAGGAGTTAGTATTAAATCTTTAGGTTAACCTTAATACTAGGATAAACTACTACAGATTCTATAGTATATATAATAGCTTAAGAAACTTCTAAAGTCTTCTTTATTATATAAGAGAATCGAAACTTTTCAGAGTTCTACTAGAGGTAATCTATATCCTTAAACTTCTTCTTATATATAATATTTATATTATTTTTCTTAAGAAAAGAATTCGAGAGTAAAATATTATATACTAATTAATCTACTAAGTAGACTTCCGCTTAGAACTAAAAGATATTCCTTTTAATTAAGTATAAAAAAAAAGAAGAAGTATATATTCTAATACTATAAGGCCTTAACTAATACTTAAGAGACTAATTTTATAAGGTCTTATACGGATAAGTACCTTAAGAAACTTCTATTATAGTATCTCGCGTGATATTAAAGAGATTCTTACTCTAAAGTTAAGGCAGAAGTCCTAAGTTATACCTAGTAGAGAGAATAAGATACTTTAAGCCTTTTAAAAGAAATTATACGCTTATCTATTAACGTAGTAAATATATTAAGGAATAAGCGCTAGTAGAGATAATAGCACTAGTAATAATAGCGAAGGAGTTAAAGTACTTATAGAAATAGAATCGATAATAGATAAATTAAGCGTGTATTAATTTATTAAAGCGATATTATAAGTAGTAATATAGTTATCTTTTAAAAAGGTTAGATCTTTAAATAAGGAGGTTACTCTAATCTTAAGTAATCGCTTAGACTATTTTCCGGTTTAGTAGACTTAAGGGATAATACTTTATCTATTATCTATATAGACTCTATAATATATATCTCCAATTAGTATATCTCCTATAGCGTGTTATTAACTACTACTATATCCTTGTATTTAGTTATATAAGCTAAGACTTACGTAGTGGGCTTCATGTTATTCTTTCTCTTATATAAGTTAAGTAGGTACTAAGGATTAATATAAGCGAGAGATTTATAGTAAGTATAAGAGTAATAAGGTCAGAAAATATTTAGAGTAGAATAAGCTAGGACTACTAGAACTGCCGGGACTACTAGCGTTAATAAGGTAGCTTAAGAGTCGCCGGGCGCAGTTAGTTTTTAATCTAAAAGTAAAATAGCTAGTTATTCTATAGTAGCCTCTAGAATATATTATACTACTTCCTAAGGGATAAACTTAAGTTATAAAGCGCTATAGACCTATAGTTAGTCTCTTAAGTCAGTAGCTCTACGATTCTAATTATTAAAGTTCTTTCACTTATGCTCTACTACTACTGTAATTATTTATTATACCTCTTAGAACTAGTTTTTCGCGGACTATTTAGCGTTTATTACTTTAGTTATAAACTCGTCTATTAAAGTATAGTTTAATAAGTATATATTCGACTTTAAGATAGGATCTAACTTAAAGTAGATTTAGTAAACTTTTAGTCCCTTATCTACTTCTCCGGCTTTATTATATAACTTAAGCTTTTTTATAATATATTCACGGGTATCTTTTATAGCTCTATCCTTACTATTAAATCTATACTAGAGGTCGTTAATAGCTTAGAGAATCTAAGAAAAGTCTTTACAGAATCGTAAGCTAAGCTTCTTAACTTATAGGCTTAGGTTAGTGTTTATCTTAATTCGAACGGAAGCTAGGAGGCTATTAAACTAGTCTTAAGCTGAGTTCTTTATTATAAGAGGGAGTAATCTAAGGATTTATTAGTCTTTATAAGTAGTAGCTAGGTAGTTGAGATAGTTTAAGTAGGAAGTAATAGGTATAGTACTATTAAAGGTTATATCTACAGCTTTAATATATGTAGCTTATATTTCTAGCTTAATAGTACTTTTAAGCGTAGACTTATTATAAGGAGAAGTATCTACTTCTAGTTAATAGCGTAGGGTAATAATAAGGACTACAGGGTTATCTTCTTCTAGTATTACTAAAAGGCTCTTTTAAAAGCAGACTATAAAAATCTGCTAAGTATTACGCGATCTACTAGAGTAAGTAAGACGTATAACGTCTATAATAGTCTTAGTTTCTAAGTTAATATATCAATTAGTGCTAGCTGTCCTAAGAGCTACTATAGCTATTTATAAGTCCGTCGGACGTAGAATCTCCTTAGCTTCTATAAAAGTTTTATCTCTTTTAATATTAGTAAGGTTATAAACTATTTTAACTTAAATAGCGTTTATAAGCTATTATTTGAAGGTATATATAGCGATATTATCTAGGTCTTAAATTACTAGAGTTACTATAATATTAGAATAGTCGTTAGAATTAATTCTTAAGGATATTTCCGTTCTTTTATTATTAAACTTTTCAGGTTCCTAGTAAGCTAAAAAGTAAGCTTTTCATAGGAAAGGTAATAGCTAGTCGGAAGTGCTAGGAGTAGAGGATTATATAATAAGTGCTACTAGTACTTTCGGTGCTATTAGTAAGGCTAAAGTAGATCCGGGGGAGGATACTTCTTCTAGTGTTACTTTTTCTAATATATTAGGTATAATTAATATCTCTTAGCTAATTCCTTCTTTTTCTGTATTCTTTTACTCCTTTCTTTTTCAGTAACCCTAAGAGCTATAAGCTAAGACTAGAGATATATCCCTTTTAATATAACAAGTAGTTCTTAGAGCTACTAGAGAAGTAGAGAGTTCACGTTTAAAGAGATCCTTAGATAATAGTTAAAGAAGTATAAATAAGGTTAATATTAAGCTTAAGCTACTAGGTCTACTAGAGCTAGAGACGAATCTACTGTTTTTATCTCTACTCTTATACTTCTTCTTCTTATTATTTGATATTTAGCCTTACTATAAGGAGATAGTTAAGAAAGAGAATACGCTAATTCTATTCCTTATACTTACGTGAGATCTACGAAGTCGGATATCAGATACTAGATAAACGGTAGTATAGTTATTCGTGTAGAGTTGTTTAAGTATAAAACGAGGTTAAATTTAAGGATTTTAGAATCGATTAAGTTTTAAGAGTTATTAGAATTACTATTATATAAACCTTATACTTAGTAGCTAAGGGGAAACTCAGGGGCTAATTATATAGTATTAGTACGTCTAAGGAGAGAAAGGAGAAAGAGAGCGTAGGGCTCTCCTAATGTAGGTAACTAAGCTAGTGCACGTGACCCATAATATGCCCTCACCAGACACCTATAGGCTAAGTAGTTAGGGGGTGGGGGGGCTTTCCCTCCCCTCGTGCTTGTGCTCGTGCTCCCTTGAAGTCCTGCTACTTTGAGCCCTACAGTAGCAGCGTGCTGCTAGACAGGTACGGGACCTTACTTTAAAAGAATCAAAGAATGATAAGCATTGGACGGCTTCCAGGACGCCGAACTCCAGAAGAGGGAGTGTAGAAACAAGACTGCCTATACAGGTAAGCCCCATTTTACATGAGTCTGCCAGAGCGTAGGTGTCCGTTAGTTACGAATTCATTTCATGAGTCGATGTGCTACCTAGCAACCTAGGCATTATATTTCTTTATCTGCCGATCGACACCCAAAAAGAACCGGTTGTTCGTGTGGGATTTCAAACTGGCTCGGAATAGACATGATTCAGGACCCGAACCTCGAAGGCATCAAACTGTCGGCGAAAAAGCAGTACTGGTTCTGTGCTGGGCCTCGTACGTGCGTGCCAGAGTGCCGACAGGAAACTGAAGATGAAGCTGAGCAAACCAGCTCTGTAGGTGGAGACAGTACCTACCTTACAGCACTACCCGCCCCGCTACCCCACCCTGCCTTTGCTACCTATGTGCAGTACAGCAACTTAGAAAGCAAGCCGTTGGAGCAGCCGTGGGCCATTCATGCTCGATTCGATCTCGCTCTTGCTCTCGCTCTTGCTCGTGCTCTTGAGGCAGAGCGGAAGAGCTGCGCGTCTGGCAACGGCGTAAGGGAGATGAACGGGAAGTTAGCACACCACATACCACATACGACGCTGGTCAACCACCAGGAACTCTTCAAGATACTCGAGTCGTAGCTCAGCTCTTCTACCCCGGACCTTCGAGCCATATACTCGTGAGAGACAGGACAGGAGAAGCAAAACTTGGGCAGATCCTGATGAGCTCAATCACCTTGAATCCTGAGAGTACTGCGTATGACTATATTGTCTGAGGATGGGTTCGACTATAGTGAGTAATATTCTGGACAAGATCCGCTCTGGTCAGCACTGGAAGTGGCGGCACATCTGGAAGCGTCTTACCTGCGCGTCTCGCAGAAGATTCAAACAACACCTCCCTGGAAGACACAGGGATAGTGAGAGGATGGCAAACAATATCCCATGAAGTTTATCAATGCTTACCAGCCTCAGATCCCCAATCTTTGATACAGAAGCAGACTGGAACATTGTTACTGAACCAGCGCGAATGGAAGACAGGTGAATGTGAGTAGCGGAGATTTCCTGGGAGGGAGCTCAGGAGCCAACAGAATGCTCTGTATCCGAGGCACGCCTCAGAATTATGATGATTGAAATGCCAGGCTGGATTAGAAAGAACTTGTTCGATTACATAACGAAGGTACGCCAAGAGAGCTTGGTGAACTGATGTAATGTGGTTGACTTTGGCATCTGGGCGAAGGATCTTCATGGCAAGAACTGGTTCAAAGCAGACGAGGATGTTCACGACTACAGTCGCTTGCTGGACATCGAACCCCATGATCTGGTAAGTGCGTTGAGCACAAGACTCTCCCGGTTGCTTGCTGACTCTTTGGGCCCCTGTCAAACCTGACTTTTGATTCCATGCAGGACCTAGACCCAAGGCTCCAGGAAGACATGTTCACTACAGGAGAGAACTCCCACGGCTGTGGACATGCCCCAAGAACGGTATACAAGATTGATCGAACCACTGCTGTCAACCTTTTCGTTCCCATGAGACCCAGTTTATCCATCAAGCCGACACAACGGTGGACATGATCATCCTCGAAGGCGCAGGATCAAGTCTGCGAGCTTCAGCTGTCAAGGTCATCAAGAAAGATAGTTCAACCAGGGAATCCATGGCTGAGAAAGAAATCATTGTCTCTGGTGGTGCATACTGCTTGCCACATTCGACGTTCCCATTTGGGGCCTTTGTGGTTATGCCAGGCTAGATGAATACCTGAAATCGAACCTCTCTGCCAATCGGCTCCATGGGAGCATGGACGCGATCCCATGGGCCTTGGCCCGTCCAGCCGAACGTTGAAATTTTCTTAACACAGAGTGAGTGCTACGGTGGTCCGAAGCAGTGTGGCATATTTCCTGGTGGAGAAAAGACCATGTCTTGTCTCTCATTGCTGAGCTCATCCCCCCAAATCTCGAGGCGAGGTAACTCACAAGCCGGCTGATCCCATGAAAAATCCTGTTGAAGATCACAATTACCTAGCCGAAGAGCTGGACATTTTGGCCCTCAGCGAGGCTTGTAAGTGCGCGAATGAGATCATCACACAAGGGAAGGGTACCAGAGCCATAGGGGATGGGAGCTGGCCGACTGAGTCAACCTATCACGAGAACACTGAAAGGGAAGAACTGGATACCATACCTGAGGGAAAATGCAACGACACGTACGTTTTAATCTCCCACCACCGTGACGGTTCTACATTAACCTGCAGGATGGGCACAAGCAATGATACCGTCCTTGACGCAGCGTTCCACGTTCGTGGCGTGAACGGACTTCGAGTTGCAGATATCAGTGTGATGCCACTCTTGAATCAGCACCACATCCAGATTCCAGCTTATACAATCGGTGAGAAAGGAATGGATTTGGTTAACGGAGCTTTCTAACCCCTGTATGAGGACGTGCCTGAAGATCTCAAGATGTAGAAAGGCAGTGAGGAAACAATGGTGGTCCTTGGTGGAGATAGCAATTTTGGCATTTAACTAACTGGGACCCTAGGTATAGTATGGAAGGTACGATGATGTAAATAAACACGTATGAGAGATTTTTTTGACTTCCTAGCTCCGAGGACGACGAGTAATGCAGAGCTCTCATTTTTAGCAGTCGTGAATATATGCCTGTTTTCTCACGCTTCAACGTCTAGAATAATCATTGCACATCTGGAGCGCAAACCAATCTGGACTGAATTGAACGCCACCTAACGAGAATTTGACACTTGAAACCCCTGGGTAAGCTGGCGACTGGGCGAGACATGAAGAGCATGACGTGTAGTATCTTGACTGGATGGACCTTTGGAGTCCAGGCACGAAGTTGGTCCTACTGAACCCATTCCGTAAGCAGCTTTCATACTGTAGTATCGGGAATATGGTACAAGGAGTGCTCATTGCCATACATCATCGATTATATCTTCGCTCGCAGGGACTGGGGCGCGCTCAAATGCACGACACCGCTCAACAAATTTGTGCTAATAGAGAAGTGAGTAGAAGGGCTTCTCCGATACCATTGGTACAACAGGGGAGCGATATAGGCCATTATGTACGTGTGCTTTTGTGCGCAGGGCTGTGCTCCTGGTCGTATATCATTTCCTTGCAGGATGTAGATGTTGTGTTTCTGCAAACAACACTGCCTCGCTTGTTCTTGATTCTCGCTTAAATCCGTAAACAAAATGTTCAGACCTGCAGATCGATTAGCGAGGTCATACCAAGAAGCACGAATGATGTTCAAAATTTGCCTGTTATACATGAAAAACCACTGCACGGGTGATTCTCAGTCGGGATACTTTGTCATAGGACAGGAGAACAGTATGGGCAGTGCTCATCTCTCCGGTGCGGATCCACCGACAAGGAGAGGCACATCGGGTGCCCATTCATATATGTCATTAGGGGCATGCTAGACATTTGGAATTTGCCAAAAGCCATAATATGACCCCTTCGTATCGCTCAAAACTGTGCAGACCCGTGCCGTGACAGCGCCTCTTATCGGAGCGGGCTCCGGCCGCACAGGTACTCTCAGATTGTGCAAGCTTTGGATATTATTGGGTACGCTGAATCAACACATGTTCCTTCTCTAATCGCTCTTTGAATTTATTGCTAATAGGTTTATTCTCTAGAATTCCATGCTATGATAGTACGTTTGCCAGCGAACAAACTCCTTGGCTTGGTGGTAGTTTCGAATAGCACATCAATGGGCTGCACTCGTCTCCTTACTGCAGTTGTAAATGAATTACTAATATTTCTTTCCTCTGTAGTGAGAAGGTCGTTCTGGACCCAAACCAAGATGCATGTGTCTTCCGAGGGGCGTCGAAGAAGGGTTTAAGCTGCATTGGGATTAAGTTGTCAAGTACTACGATGCGGCAGTGGACTGGACAGCTGCAGCGTTCTAGGAAGACCTCTGGTAAACATACCCGGACGCAAATATCATTTTGACAGTTCCGGATCCAGAAGATGGTACCAATCAGTGGGAATGACGATTTGTGACTGGCCAAATGGCCCAGGCGAATGGCCGGTACGAATGCTAGAAGCCAGGCTCATGGTACATTCTGTTGTCAAGCAAGAATTACCGACAAAGAAAGCATCAGCAGGTAACTCAGAGAACATGTCGAGTACGTGAAGAGGCTTGTTTCGAAGCACCGGCGCCTTGTACTTGGACTCGGGGACGACTGGGACTCACTGTGCCCCTTTCGCTTGGCTTCATTTTGACTACGATTAGTGTAAACGTCCCGCGGATGTCTGGTTTGATTAGGTGTGACAATTCCCGTGGAATATGGATAATTGGCGAGAAACTCACGCATGCGGCGTAACGCTATCGCTGGACGAGAGCATTCATATACCTACATGCTGCGTCTTGTGGAGTACCTGGGTAATGATTTACGATATTGAAATGAAGTACACTACCTACCGCTGTGTTGCCCAGAGTCAGTCATTTCAGAGCAGACAACTGAGATCGATCCTTAGCAACCAGAAGGACTCTGACCAAGTACCACTATGACATCCATCTAGTACAGAAGTCGCGGAAGCTTACAGTCTCGAGTCAACTCCCTGGCGGGGTAAGATATCTTGTGCCACATGTGCAACTTGCTGCTTGGTCTGAAAACAATCTTCTTGACGTGAACATTTGTGATACATACGGAACATTGAAGCAGTTTCGCATAGCCCCCACTATGACCATCCACACTATCCCATCTATTCAATCCCCCATCGATGACTCGAGGCTTTATCTGATACATTTGAGTTGCCTACCAAAGGGGGGTTTCCTTTGATCTTTCGGCCTCCGTAAACAAAATTCTCGCTTAAACTTTTTGTTCTGCTGCGCCACCAAGTGCGAATGGCTGTGGCATCTTGGCGGAGTCCATCGCGGTCGATGATATAAATCACCCAGGACTTATTTATATGCGCCTGATATCAGACATGGAAGGCACTACAACATAACGGAAGCAATTCGCTTCCTTACTTGTTTGGTGAGCCACGAAAGCTGATCCTTTGCCACGCGAGAAGAACGTAGAATCAAGGTGGCTTGCCGCTGCTTCCAGGAGCAATTTTTGGTTATAACTGTATGATTCCCATAAGCTACTTGAATCAATTAGTTCGCATCGTTATTTTTGGGTACCGCGACAAGCCCCCGCGGTCTAGCGCTGTTGATGAGTCTCTCCCTGGTCTTCCGGTTAGCCTGCGACTTCTAACATATCAAGTAAACACAACCTTCGTACTTCAAGAGCTAGTCGTAGATTAGAGATATTACACACATGCCAGATCTACAGCCAACATAGACGTTAACGCGCCGGAAAAATCGCGAAACAATAAACTCGCAAATTTGTTCTGTCCTGCTGCTGTAAGATTGGACCTGTAAGTACCTACTAGCAGGCGGTTACCGGACCTCGCTCTACTGTAGCAGCCCGAGCCTGAACGAACACCTGTATCGACAGTGTAGCATCCCACCTACCTAATACCCTGCCCATTCGCCACCTCACTTCATCCCATGGCACAAGTCGCATCAGCATGTCTGCAATGAAGAAGATGGAAGAGGAAGTGCGGCAACTTAAGACCCGGCGAAATTGGACCTTAGTGCACAAGCTGGAGTGTGTTGTGTTTACTTCGTTACGTTCAAGTTCAAGTTCGCGTGCCCCACCAGACCTCTCGCAACTCCAGCGTAAGTTACTGTAGCTAGGTAGACAAGCCCCGCGCCCTGACTCGCGATACACAAGGAAATCTGCCGAGGCTAGAACGTTGTACTGAGAAGTCTGATTGTTTCTTTGTGACTTGGCTGGCAGGGCCGAATCTGATGCTGATGAACCATCCGACGAAAGTTTCAAGTAAGTTAATGTTGGCATGTGACAGCATGGTGATGGATATGGTTATGGTTGTGCGCTGCCTCGAGTACATCTCGCAATTGACCGACCAATGTTATCCGCGAAGCAAACAAACAGCCATGATCAATTCCCAGGTACTTGTAGGTAAGGAGGAGATACTGGACCAGCCGCGGTTCTTACTGTACCTATAGTAACATGTAGGAGAAGTCTCACAGCATGCACATGCAATGCAGCCCGATGACGCACTTGAGCAAGTGCAACTAAACTTACCTACTGTAAGGTAGGTAATCCTAGGGACATTACTGTATTACAGTATTATTCCGAGCAGCTACATAATGACAAGCTTTTTGTTACTTGGCAAGCCACACCAGGCCAGGCTTAGTACGACTGTGGCATTGTTAGCCACGACGGAAGACTGACAGAAACAGCTGTCGTTGCAATAAAATGTGGTATTGTTTCCACATAAAATAGACTCCTAGTTTCCCTTGACTTGATATATATTCACATGTTCATCTGCAGAGGCGAGACGAAAGAGAAAATGTAAGTTCTGCCAAGACCTCGGCTGAGCAAGCGTACTGTACCTGAAGCAAGGCAAGGCAAGGCAAGGCAAGGCAAGGCAAGGCAAGGCAAGGCAAGGCAAGGCGAGGCGAGAACAGACAACGACCGCAGCGCTCGCTGTGAAACTCCCCATCTTTTGCTATTTTTCCATTCTGTCATCGCATCCGCCGATTCAGTCCTCCAATCCCGCATTTTTTATACCGACTTCTCAAGTATACATGCATTCCTCGAGTAGATAGGCCATCGATCGGGACAGCCAGCATGTCCTCTCGACGTCCTTCTTCTCCCCTTGCGGGCCCCTCCGCCAGCTCATCCCGAAATCCCTCCACCGCCCAGCATCAACATCACGATCACACGCCGAATACCCCAAGCGGTCTGCGAGCATCTGTAACGCTTGCACGCTCCCCAGAGGATACGACGAACCATCAAGGTTTAACTACAGGCACAAGGACAGCGCCGAGCAGGTCAGAGTCAGAGTCTTCGCCCAATACATACCCAACACATCTCGTGGCGGAACCAGATGCACAGTAAGTATTGGGATAGCCCAAATTATGTTTCTTCGGAGATCTTCCCAACCTCCTATAGACCTGTCACTTCTTGTTGCCAAAACGTCCACGTACAAGCCATTACTAATCGCCGTCACCAGAGACAATCATAACCTTGACGGCCATGCACACGAGGCATCTGAGTTTGGAAGCAAATTAGCGGACGAGACAACAGCTCTACTACGAAAACCCTTTGAGTTTGTAGTTGGAACACCACCACACAGCGGTCCCTGCAACCATGGGACCTTCAGCCCCAGGCTGGAGAGCCGGGCCGACAGTATACGGAGTGGTCACAGTGGGTATGGCTTTGGCGGATCACCGCCGAGAAGATCTGGATCTGGAGAGGGAGGCGCAGGAATACTCGAGAACATGTTTGGCTCGGGCAGAGCAAGCAAAAAACTGAGCACCACGAGCTATCTGGCGGAGCGGCACGGAATTACGAACACAAGAGTAATGTATGTTTGTTTGGACCTTGGAATGAAAGGTCGTCTCCACCTATAATCTGCTGATCTATGTGCCTTTTCAGGTACCTGACTTATTACGTCCCCTTCTTTGCTTGGATTCGACAATATCGATGGGTGCATCTGCAAGGGGACCTTGTAGCTGCCCTTACTATGGCATCCTTCTACCTCCCTATGGCGCTATCCTACGCTTCCAATCTCGCACATGTTCCGCCGATCAACGGGCTATACTCGTTTGTCTTCAACCCCCTCATTTATGCTATTCTTGGGAGCTGCCCGCAAATGGTTGTAGGCCCAGAGGCAGCTGGCAGTTTACTTGTGGGAAGTGTCATCAGGTCCAGCGTGGATAGTGGGAAGTCGCCGGAATATGATGAAGCCATGCACGCAAGAATCGCCGGCGTTGTTACAGGCATGGCTGGAGCCGCCATTTTTATCGCGGGCCTCACTCGACTAGGATTCTTGGATAGTGTGCTGAGTAGACCATTTCTGCGAGGGTTTATCTCGGCCATTGGTTTTGTTATTGTGGTTGATCAATTGATTCCGGAATTAGGACTTGCAGATCTTGCGGAGGCTCATGGTGGTGTTAGTCATGGTAGCAGTGTGGACAAGCTCAGGTTCCTCTTCGGAAACATCCAGCATTCTTCCAAGATCACTGCTACTGTTGCAGGCGTGAGTTTTGTCATCATTATGGTGTTCAGGTAAGCTAGAGTATTCTCAAGGAGGGTTACCTTTGTGGTCTAACAGGTCACAGGGAAATGAAGAAGCGTCTGCAGCCTCGTTACCCTGGAGTTGCATATATTCCTGATAGATTCCTCGTCGTTGTGCTATCGGCGATTCTTACCTGGCAGCTACGATTGGATCTTTCAGGTCTGGAAATTCTTGGTGAAGTCAAGTCGAGAACTGGGAATCCGTTCCCATTCCACTGGCCATTCCAAGTTGCCCATATGAAGCATATTCAGGAAGCGATGGGCACTTCATTCCTGATTGCCTTGCTTGGATTTTTTGAGTCATCTGTTGCCGCCAAGAGTCTTGGAGGTGGAGACGGGAAGGACGGTATCCAAGGGATTGCATTGAGTCCGAATCGAGAGCTGGTCGCCCTAGGTGTTGCAAATCTTGTTGGAGGATGCTTCTGTGCCCTGCCTGCATTCGGCGGCTATGGAAGAAGTAAAGTGAACGCAAGCACAGGAGGCAAGACCCCAATGAGTAGCATCTTTTTGAGTCTGATAACAATCATTTGCGTCTTGTTTCTGTTACCAGCATTTCACTATCTACCAGTCAGTGGAGTGTCCTCAATCTTCTACTTCTAGACTGATGTGTCTACAGAAAGCCGTCTTGTCCTCCATGATTACAGTTGTAGCGTGGTCTCTCATCGAAGAAGCACCACATGACATTATGTTCTTTATCAGGATACGAGGATACACTGAGCTCGGATTGATGACGATCATATTCGCTGCAACAATTTTCTACTCTCTGACTCTAGGAATAGCCATTGGAGTGGGACTTTCCCTCCTCTCTGTGATTAAACACAGCACTCGTCCTCGTATCCAGATTCTGGGTAGAATACCAGGCACCAACAGGTTCGAGAATGCTGAGGATAATCCGGAAGAGAACCTAGAGTTCATTGATGGCTGCTTGATCGTTAAGATTCCCGAACCGTTGACTTTCGCCAATACAGGCGATTTGAAGAATCGGCTTCGTCGACTCGAACTTTACGGCACAACGAGTGCCCACCCGGCATTACCCAGAGTTCGCTCCCCTGAGCACAATAAAAACATAATATTTGACATTCATGGCGTAACTGGTCTGGATGGCTCTGGAACGCAGGTCTTGGAGGAGATCGTTCGGAAATATCGAGATCGCGGGGTCCGCGTGTTCTTCACACGTGGTCCGGTTGAAGGGAGTCCAATATACGAGCTCTTCCGCAGGAGTGGGATTCTTGAAATCTGTGGCGGAAAGGAACATTTTGTGGCTGACGTGGGTGAGGCACTACGTCTAACCGAACAAAATAGTGACCACGGGTATGTCAATTCTGCCGATGATGAGAACGGAGGCTAGAATCATGTTGTTCATAGAGGCATTGCATGAGTTGCGATTTGCATTCCATGCTTGGATTTGCAGCGTGGGTTTGGTTGTATACATGGCGTTTCATGGAGGTGGTGACGCTAAAAGTCATCTGGATTATAGATCTTTCCCGAACTATGCTCGCTTGATGGATCTTTCCGTCACTGCTACCAAGGGTATCTTGTTTTTGTGCAGTCATTTTTCCTGGCGTGCCTTGGGCCTAGCATCCTTTTTTACCCATCGCTTTTTGTTTCATGCGCTTCAACTCATTTCCCTTCTTCCACGGACTGTGCTTCCTAGTTGAGTCACTGCTGGTAAGACTTGGTTGGGCGGTAGCACTTATCTCGGCTTTTCCATTCGACCATTTTGATTAGAGCTTGAAAAGGTGTGCTCTGTTAAGAAAAGTTTCACCATTCAGAAGCCCGCATGGGCTCTTGGGAACAGCCTGAAATGGACAATATGGATAAGTGAAGTGGCCACGCAGTTTTCCGCAATTGCACGAAACAGCCGGTACTGGTTTGTGCCCATGCTTTGCATTTTTTGTCTCTTCCATAATTTGGCAGGCTCCTAGTCATGTTTCTCGTTGTGGTATTTTGGATGAGCACGTCAGATGATATGCAAGCGTTCGAATTTGGCTCAACGAGGAGTTATCCCGACTGGAAAGTGATAGCTGGGCACTTTATGTACAGGAATGTGGATTCTCTAAATTACTCTGTGTTTCATGATCCACGATTTCCCACAGATGTATCCGCATGGCGGAAATCAACGCCGCCTCGCTGCTCAACCCCAAATGGATTTCCACTACGATCGAGACGACCGACGACTTATTCTCCTTGTTTGTCAACATTCTTGTTGAATGATCCCTAGATTTGGCAGGCTCTAAGTATGACTGGAAGCTGGAAAAGGCTGTTGGGCTGTCCTCAACAACACTTGTTCATGGAGGGCAGAATAAGCTCGTGTCCATTTCGCTTCGTCGCTTTCCGAAAACACCTTGCATCTATCTGCGAGACAGAGAACGCGTGTTGCCGGTTATAGGGAGCAATTGTCCTTCCCATTCTGGCCAATCCCTAGTGGTTTTAGTGGTGGCGCGGTGGACTCGTAGCAACCCCATTGTTAGCCTTGAACGATGGACCTACTTCCGCACCGCTACTTGCTCTGGCCACGTAGGAGCAGGGGATGTGTTGCAAGCCACCAATACTGATCCGATGTATAAGTACGGAGAGGTTTTGAGTCAATTGCTCGCCCTAAACTTTTCACCCAGCAATTCTTCAAATACTTGTATCCAAACGCCGATCCAGAACTTCCAAGCAAACATGTACCTTAACACGGTGGTCCACCAGATCTTGTCTGGTATGTTCTTAGCAGGGCAACGCCCATGATTCCAAATATTACCACAGGAAACCGTAACATCGTCAGCCTCTTCATCGCAGCTCCGGTCCAAAACAAACAGCGCGAGGCTCAGGTCTACCCACCTCCGTCGTTCAGCTTGTCACTTATCCACCCAAAGCCGACGAACACTTTCGTCCTTGAACCATCCCTGTCTCGCTCGACCATAGTCGTCCCCACACCTCCTCCGACCTTCACCCTTCCACCAAAGCCGACCGCCACCCACACCGATAAGCCACCAAAACCTACCAAGTCGACAAAGACCGGGCTGCCTGTTGTGTCCATCCCGAAGCCCACCAAGACAGTCCACCCAACCAAGTCAATCCCGAAGACTACGCATGTCTCCACAAAGAAGCCTAAGCCAACTCTTACCTACGCAGAGGGCGGCTGTTGTCGCAAGGCACGTTTTGATGAGAGAAAAGATGTTCAGATGAGATAATGGCTCCTCCTGAGCATCCTCGATCTGTCATCCTCGATGGGTTTCTGGGAACGATCAGCTATTCCGCTCCAAGCAGCTGATTTATACTCACACTACTTTTCCGTCACAAACTTCCGTGCAATGCACTTTCTTTCTCGTCCTGGGACCTGAGCCTTACCTTATATCGGACTAGTTCGAACTAGTAAGTGATGGAATCCACGCTTCACTGCCTGTGTCCATTGTGATTCATGTAGAGTCAGCGTTCGAACCTGGTTGTGAGGTCAGATGAACCCACAACCTGGATAAAGTGTGCCTTCAGTTAGCTCACACATCATGAGAGTCCGTCACTGCTTATTCTATGGCAAAACACGAAGATCAGTGTTCTTCCCTCGGACTCTTCCATGGGTCATCCAGATCTTGTGCTCACCGATCTCACGGACCAGTCCTTGAGACGCATTCTGAGGCTCAGCATTACTCAAGTACTACGTATCTAGGTACTTACCGTGTCAACTGAAGATGTTATACCTATGTTACTCGAAATTGGATTTCCTTTCGCCACGGCTGAAAATACGAATCATTGGGTCCAGCGGAACATCACACGTCGCTAGCTATATTTTTTGTGGTGTGCTTCCATACGTGCTTTTTGCTCTCGCTTCACCTGTTTCTGCTTCCCAGACCGAGCTCTCCTGAATCCCACCTCGATTTCTCATATGGCTCAATTACAAAATGAGGGATAGCAACGCCAGTTCCTTGAAACTCTCACTAAGCGATGTATGTTCTGCTCTGGCTGTCATTCAGAAGCGAGCTGGAAGATATGCCTCGTCCAATCTTCATCTTCGCCTGTGCCCCTCTCGACCTTTACCGTGGAGCATTCTTACTACCCAGTATGCGGGACCGTATTCAATTTCCCTCAGCTACCAATTGGACAGGGCTTAGTACTCACAATATTCTATTGGATCTGTATTTCATATACCTAAGTTCACTCCGCGGGACTGGGAGCATCCTCCGGGAAGCGGAGGATGAGGCGCTTGCCCCTCCCGCCCCATTCCCAAGTTTTCAGCCTATTGTAACGGAAAGGTGCCAGCTCGTCCTACGGGCATAAGAAAGTATGGCTTCCCATCTATCCCAACGACGACTGGGAAGTTGACGCTTCCCTCTGTACCTATTATTAGGTGGCCAAAATCTCCGTTTTGGCCCTTTTTGGATCATGCTCACTATGATGTACTTTGTGGGCCACTCGTAGAAATCGTACTCCAAACATTCGGATACATTTATACCCATCAAATATGAAACACTTACTATTACCACTCCCAAGTTTCGGTGCTTTGATCCCGAGGCAGATAAAGCCACCTTGTCTTATATCTTAGATTCTTTCTGTTGCCAGTTCAGACAGTCCCGGTTTTCTCGGTAACACACCATCGGCGTCTATGTTGCTTGTCGCCACTAAGAGTGTGGCTGGCCCAGGTACTCTTGAGTACGATAACAAGTTCCACAAGAGATGCCATATGGCTTCGAAGAACCACTATCATCCGCCCTTTATTTGGATCGGGCCACGACCGGATCTTCATCTTCATATCTGCATGTCACAGTTGCAACATCTACAACTTGAGCTAGACTGCCGTAATGTTCAGCACTTAGTACTCACGGGTAAGGGAAGCAACTCCATCTTGAACGAGGACTAGTTCTATCAATAATTGACTGCATCCTCTAATCCACCAACGTGAGCTTCTAAATGGCCTGGGAAAGTCGATCATGACGTAAATTATTTCCATCACTGATCCCGGCCTCATCACTCATGACAGGAAGGCATACATAGCTCACCTTCATCGAAACCCATCTTTGTTGTGTCAAGTACCGAGCTTTTATGGACCAATTTCTCCGGTATTCTCGTCACTCTTCCATTCAACGCCTCTACTTCTCCACACACTCACTTGATGGCTTTCGTCTCTGTCAACTCATTTTCGGGATTTGTTTCTCACAAACTGAACAATAATCGGACAACAGATCTTGACCCTAAGTACTCGCGGTCTTTCTGTTTACGCCAAGCAAGAATTGCCTCGTGTAGGTAGCTCGTCGCACTCTACAGCTGTTCCCATAAATAGTTAGAATCCATATCTGCGCCCGCCTTTTATTAAAAATCGATTCTCTCTCTTCTTTCTAAACCTTCTTTACTTGTATCTTTATAAAAGTAATTATAAGATATTATAACTTTATGAATTTCAACTAAAATACTACTTAATTAACTTATAACTTCCTTAGCTTTTATTATATATTTAGTTATAAAGGTATTAATTAATTAAGCTATATAATATTCAAGGCTTAAAAGTTAAAAAGTAGCTTATAAAACAATTTTTTTAATTTTAATAGAATCAAAAGAATTTGATTAATATAATATTATATTTAAAAATAAAATATAAAAGTAATTAAATATATATATTAATCTTTAATTCTCTAAAATATCTAAGTTTTATATTAAAAGGTAGTTACAATATAAGTAAGTAGGACTTAGAGAGGGGGTGAGAAGGATTTAAATAAGAGTAAAAAATCCGGCCCCCGCGGACTTTAACTAATAGTCGGTTCCCCTGTGTGAGGCTACGGGCACTCGCTTATAGTCAGTGAAAGTAAGTGTCATAGGAAAGTAAGAATTATATAAAAGATAGCTGAAGTATTAAACTTCTACTAAAATTACTACTATAATATATATCTTTTCTATCGCGACTATAACTCCTTACACTTAATTATATTAATTCCTTTACTTTTATTATTAAATAGCGTACTTAAAGAGTAATTATTATAAAATCTATATAATAAAAGCTGATTATAATAGAGCTTTTAATAAGGCGCGCTAGTAAGCTCTTTAGTATCCTAAGGAACTACTTAGCTTCTTTATATATATATATTTTATTAAGGAAGACTTATTATAGTAATTAATATATTATATAAAAAAGCCTAAGTAAAGGAACTAGTAAGGAGAGTTTAATAAATATAATAGAAATAATAAGATCCTCTCGCTATAGTAGAAAGAAGCTATTTAGTAATACTATTACAAATAATAGAAGGCTAGCTTAGGTACGACTTATAAGATAGTTTTAAATAGAATTACATGCTTATAAGCTATAAATCTCTATATCTTATTATATAATCTATTACTAATATTAGGGAAGGAAATAATACCTCTATTACTTCTTCTATTAAAACACTAGTTTAACGCTTAGCTAAAGAAGAACTCCCTTCTTTATATAATTTATATAAAGCTAATTACGTATACCTAAGTCGATTATTACACTGAAAAAGACGTGAAGGATTAGTTTAAGAAGCTTTAAATAGTAGTAGAGGAATATGAAATTAATTTAGGTAAAAAGCTACTGAATATAGATAAATTAAGAGCACGAGTTAGTTATCCTACTAGAGAGAGTATTATTATTCTAATTAAAATAAAGGAGCTTTATACCGCTAGTCCTAAAAACTATAAATCTGTTATAGTTATCGAGACTATACGTGCTAATAGCTGAAAGACGCTTCCTCTATATATAATTACGCTAAGGAAGAAGATAATATATAACTAAGTATATAAGAACTTAAATAGAGATAAGCGAATCAATTATTCTAATATAAGCTATATTAATAATCGAATTATAATAGACTATATAGACTACTTGATTTAGTACTCTTACGCTAATCTAAATAAGCCGTGGAAGCTTTTACTTTATAATAGCTATAAGTCTTATTGATACGACCTATTCGTACTAAAGCTAATAGAGAACTATATTAAGATATTTTAGTTTCTTTTATATCTTATATATTTTCTATAACCTCTTAATATTAGTATCTTCCGGCCTTAGAAGTATTTCTATAACCTATATATTTAGATAGCTTTATATAATCTTAAGTTTAAATATACTATTACTTCTTTCTTCCGCGATCTTACTAAAATAAGAAAAGATATAATAAAGGAATATATAATTAAGAACACTTTTAAGACCTCTAGAATATAGCTGCTCTTCTTAAAAGCTAGCTTATAAAAGATATAATTATATAATAGGAAAAAGAGATTAATTTAAGAGGTAAAGAATAAAGATTAAGACTTAGATCTTCTAAAATTACCTTCTTTATAGCTAGATAAGCTATAGTAAACTATATCCGCTATCTAATCGTTTATTAGAAGAGACCTTACCTAGTTCTCTAATACCTCTAAAGAGCTCTTCTAAAAGACTATAGTAAATATAGCTATAAGCTTCTATAAAGCTTACCTAATAACTATTAAGTATATAATACTTTAAGAGAAACTTAAATTAGATAATTAATAGAAGAAGATATTATAACAAAGTATCTATAAAGAAAACGCTTTAGTAACTATAGGCGATTTAAGGTAAAGGATACAAATATATAATAAAATAAAGCGTGAGGAAGCTTTATAGAAAGCTTGAAAAGCTCTTTAATAAGTAATTAATCAGTTAACTAAAGTTTTTTGTATTACTAGAGTTTAAGCTAGGAAAGAGAATAAGAAACAAAAGAAAAGACTAGAGAAATATAAGGTAGATAGTATATTTCTAGAAGCAGAGGATTTAATTCCTTATAAAAAGCTTAATAAAAACCCTACTTCACTTAAAGCTATAAGTAAAACATGTGAAAATCACTTTAAATACCTTTATATTATATTTTAGCTTAAAAAGGAGTATAATTAAAGACCTATAGGTAAGGATATAGAATTCAGGATAGGAAGTACATTATATAAAGAGAAAGGAGTTAATATTAGATATCTTAAGTCTAGCCTTATACTATAAGTCTACGTAGAGAGTTCTAATATAGAGTCAGATACTAGCTCTATTAACTTAATTATATGAAATACTGATTTTATTATACTTTAGTAAATTTAAGAAATATCTTACCTTGGATTTAATCTAATAATCTGATTTTAGTAGGGTTTATAGTGAAATTTTAATAAGGTCGCTAAATCCTTACGTAATACTTACTTTCCTATAATACTTACTTTTACCGACTATAAGCGAGTGCCCGCAGCCTCACACAGGGGAACCGACTATTAGTTATAGGAATAGCTATAACACTGCATGGGTCACATGACCGATTGCATGAGGATGGAAATAATAGTTCTAGCCATGTTTGAAGCTTTTTGGATATGAAGTATAGGATTTGATCGTGGCGTATCATGAAAATAGCCTGACAAAGCATTTCTGGAAGATGTTGATTGTCGGCATCGCATTACATATTTTCCCAGGAGAACTTGCCCAAAGGGAGGCGCTAAGAGGGGCCAAAGTGCTATACTATCCCCTCAACTGCCGTATCAAACACACCTGTAGCGAGACCCTGTAATTAAGCGAAGAACGCTGAAATTCGTTGTTGTCCAGGCAGCCTTAGCGCCTCGCTTCAGCGACGTACTAACTTAATGCTTACACGTCTCACTGACGCACACGTCTCTACTACTACGGATGGTTATCTTCAAATGTACGCAAAAAGCAGCCGGTGTCCGGCATAGGTGTTCACTATCCAAAAATACACTAGGCGCTGTTGTCCTGGAGGTCTTGTTGATAGGCCACAAGTGATCGTGGCTGATTCAAATCTGAATTCAGCAAATGATGCGGGCTCACGATGCTGCAGTTTGAAACGTGCTTCGCCACAACTGGCACAATGACTGAAGCCTGCCACGAAGAGCATCCCAGCCACCTCCGGGGAAAGGAAGGGAGATCTCCTACTCTCTGAAACCAAACAGTCCTCAAACCCACAGCTTAAACTGACTCGAATCCTGGTTTGCATACATAACCGTATATGCCCACAGTACTCCCCTCCAGATCCCCAATGATCTACACCACACATTACAAAAGACCCAAATTCGATATCAGCTGAATTGTGCGCTCAAGATACCGTTGCGAGGCTGAAGGAAAGAAAGGAATCACGAGACTAATGCGGCGCTCAAATCAGACGAGCGAGGACGGCATGGAAATGTCAATACTGCAGAAGAAAGACACAAAGTTGAGGGTGGAGGACGTGGAATACGAGTACAGGGACTTCAGGTGGAAAGATCCATTTACGAAGAAGAAATATATACGTTCGTGGCCCGACACGATCAACACGATCAGATCTCTGGGCATTTACTAAGAAGCACAGCGTGGTGGATAATTGGGATTGTAGTTTCCTTGGGTGTTGCCTATGTAACAATCAAACACGACAAGATTGTTGAGGTAAGTTCGGATCTAGGTAACCCTAAACAATCATAGCTTATCGAAGCAGGCATTACGGCCAATTTCCGCAAAAATAAAGGACATACCTGGAGGTTTCATTATTCCAGTGGCCATATTGGTCATTATTTCATTCCCGCCCTTGTTTGGCCATGAGGTAGTTGGCATCCTTGTCGGTGCTGTTTGGGGACTGTGGATTGGATTTGCCATTGTCGCGGCTGGGACTTTTATTGGGGAGAGTATGCTACTCTTTGGAATGAGAGGCTAAGAAGACATGCTGACTTATCTTACTAGTCGGAACTTGGTATGCATTCAAGTATGCATTCAGAACAAAAGCAAACAAGCTCGAGAAGACAAACCTGAACTATGGCGCACTCGCACGATTGACCAGGGACGGAGGCTTCTGGGTAAGAGAAATATACCGTTTCAAGAATGATGTCCAAGCGTTAACAAGTCTTACAGATTATCCTTCTCATCCGATTCTCGGTAATTCCTTCGCATCTCTCTACTGCCGTGTTCTCAACGTGTGATGTGAAATTTTGGCATTTCGCAATCGCAACCTTTCTCACCTTACCGAAGCAGATAATCATCGTATACTTCGGGGTCCTGTTGACGCAGGAGAAGGAGAAAGATAACCTGGTCAACGGTATTGTACTGGGCTTCACATTCTTAGTAACGGTGGTAGCCGGGGTATACATTTATCTGAAAATGCGAAAACTCAAAGCTATCCTGGTGGCGGAGCAGATTATAAGGCTGGAGGAGAAGCGAAGAGCACAACAATGCGAGCCTGCTTTTATTTGAAACCACCTTCGTTTTTTATTACTATCGCTTGTACAGGGTTGATATGCCTTTCTGGCTTAAGTAATAACCTTATATATTATATTAAGAAGGATTATTAGATAGCATGTAATTCTGTGCTAGTCGCTTTAAAAAGAATTATAGTAAGATATTAAATCTAGAAGATTAATAGTCGGTTCCCCTTTTAACCTTCGGGGACTTAGGTAGAGTTAGTAAAAGTAAGTGTCACGTGAAAGTAAGCGTTACGCTAGAACTAAAAACTTAGATAACTTTATAAATACTTAAGTAGTAATTATAACGCTTGCCTTATAAAAGAGCTGATATCATATAATAATAGTAGTCTTATATATTAATAATATTAAGTGAAAGTAATTAAGATTCTCTTAGAATTTATAACTAAAGTAAAAAGAAAGTAAAAGAAATTATAATAGTGTAATAAAGATTTATTAGTAGTTATAATATAAAGTAAAAAAGATAGTAAGAAAAAGAGGTTTTTAAAAAGCTTTAAAAATAAGTAAGAGAGATATAACTATTAGTAAACTAAGCTAATCTTAGGTATATTAGTATATAACCCTAGTCTTATAGCTTTATAATATTAGCTTTACTTATATAACTAGCTTATTATAATTAGTTTATTATATTACTCTCTTTTTTTAAAAAAGGCTTATTTTTAAGTTATAAAAAATTCTTATAATTTACTTAAGATATTATAGTATTATTTATAAGTCTATTATATATATTATTATTATTTACTTCTTATATATTTAACTATTAAAAAAGTAACTTAAGTAGATTTAGTTTTTTAAAGTAAGCTTAATAAAAGTTATAAAGCTTATATAAATAAGTTATAGAATCTTTAGTAAAGTAAAACTTAAATTTAAATTTAAGTCCTTTTTATTTAGCTTAATATTATAATATTTTATCTTACTTAAAAAGTAAGTTATTATTATACTATTAGAGTTTATTAACTAAAAAGATAAAATATACTTTAATTAAAGTAAAAAAGTCTAGGTAAAATAAGTAGTATTTTTTAAAGACTTTAAATAAGCTTACTTACTAATTATCTAGCTTTTTCTTTAGTTAATATATCTTTTAATTTTTTATAATAACTTAAATAGAATTACTTCCTTTTTAATTAACTTTTTAATATAACTTATTTATATCTTATTACTTCTTCTTTTATTAGTTATAAAAGAACTTTTAAGCTTTCTTTTAAACTTACGTATATTAATAAGTAAATAACTAAGTATTTATAATATTTAGCTTTTTAGTAATAGTTTATTTTACTTTTAACTATAGTTTATCTTAGTCTTAACTTATTTTTAATTTGTACTTATACTTTAATTAATATAAATATATTCTTAAAGACTTATATACTTAAGTTAACTAAGTATAGTTTATTATTAATAAAAGTCTAAACTAACAATTTTAATAATAGTTAATAAAAAGTTAAAGATATTAGTTTAAGTATTAGTTTATAATCTCTATTTAATTATTTATTTAAGTATAATAAGTAATAAAAAGTTCAACTTTAATATTAAAAAGCTAATAAAACTTATTTTTTTAAAAAAGAAATAAACTATAGACTTTTATCTAATATTATTATTTTTAAAGGTATATTAAACCTTTTATAATTAAAAATAAATAACTATACTAAGTTATAAGTTATATATATAGAAAAGTATAGAATTAATATTACTTTTTTAAAAAAGTGATTTATTATAATAAGTATAAAATTATACTTAAATTTATCTTTTAGCGCGCTTTTAAAGTATATATTTAAGTACTATTATAAGTAGTTAGAGATTAGTAATAAGTAAAAGTACTTTAGTATTTTATTTTAATAATGATTTATATAATTATAAACTAAATAGTTTAATATAAACCTAGCTATATCTTTAAGTATATTTAAGTAGTAGTACTTAATATAAAATATAAAAACTTAATTATAAATATATTAAATAAGTTATATATATAAGCTATTTGTATTTAAGACTTATAATTAACTTTAAAATAAAAGTAAACTATTCTTTTAAAAAGTATATTATAAGTCGAGTTTTTTAACTTTTCTTATTAAACTATTAAAGCTTTATAAGTATAGTTAATATAAATAAGCTTTATAATTAGATTAGTTTTATTCTTTAGTTTAAACTTAACTAAGGCTAAGTAGTTTATATTTAAAAGCTTCTTTAGTTTACTTATAATATATAAGTTTAATTAGCTTAAGTAAATTAAAGTCTAAGTATATAGTTTATCTTTTATTTTAATTTATTTATTAATATCTTATTCTTACTAAAATAATATATTTATTATTATATTTTAGTTTATAAAGTAATATATAGTAGTAAAACAAAAGTCTACTAAGATTTTTAATTAATAAGCTTATTATCTAATAGACTTTTTAATAGTTATAAAATATTCTAGTATCTTATAATCTAAGAATACTTAAAACTATTAATATCTTATTTATAATACTAGTTTTACTTTTTTAGTAAGTAAAAGACTATATAATTACTAGTATCTTTTTATTATAAATAATATAGTTAAGTTTAATAAGGTTTATAATCTCAAATAAAAACACTACTAAATACTAGTTACTATTATATTTTTATAATAATACTTTTAAAATTACTTTATCTAAATTATTAGTTTTAATTTATATTTTTTATAATATATTATAGTATTTAAAGTAAGTAAAAGATAAGATAGTATTTTTAAAGCTTAAAATACTACTAGCTTAATAAGTGTTATTTTAAATAAAACTAAAGCTTTAGTAAGTTTTACTAGTAGTTTAACTACTTTACTATAGTTATAAATAAACTTCTAATAAAAATTATAAAATCTTAAAAATAACTAAATACCTTAGATAGTTATAAGAGATTTTTAGTTATTTATATATTCTATTATTTTAAAGTTGATTTTAATACTTTTAATAATAATATAAAAGCTAAAGAGCTTAAATTTTTTAATATAAAACTTACTTTTTTAAAAATCTATAAAAAGTTTATATTATTATAAGTGTTAAAGTATATCTTTAATATATTTTTATACTTTAAAAGGTTATTTAAGTAAGTAATAATATTATTTAAGTAAGTAGTATAAGAATTATCTAAGTAGTTAAAAATTATATTATTTATATACTACTAAAATATAACTAGTTTATTTTTCAAACTAAATAATATTACCTTATACTTATAACTATTATATTAAGTATAAAAAATAATATATTTTTTAAAAGTAAAGTTTATATAGATCTAGTAAAATATACTTTAGATATTAATCTTAATAAAAACCTTAGCTTAGCTTAACTAAGTAAATACTTTATTAATAAAAAGTAAAGAATACTTATTTAACTTTTAATAATTAATATAAAAGCGTAAGCCTTTATTTAGCTTTTTTATAAAAAGAGTTAAATAAGTAAATAAAATATAGCTTAAAATAATAAAACCTTTATTTAAGTTCTCTTTTACTAAGTATTTTTTTATTACTTAAAGTTTTACTTAACTTTATTAGTATAAAAAGCTATACTTATAATTAATATCTTTTTTTAGTTTAATCTTATAATTTAAACCTAAAATGGAATCTAAAAGAGAATTAGTAGTTATTTCTAAAAAGGCGGTAGTAAATTCTTTATATTAATAGGGAAGCTTTTTTTTAAAGATATTTTTATATAATTTTTTAAGTTTAATAAACTTTTATAACTTAACCTTTTAAGCTACTTAGGTAATTGCTTTATTAATTTTATTTAATATTATTATAAAGAATTCTAATCTAAAAAGTTATATAATATAATAGAAACTTATAATATTAATCTTAGTGTTACGGACCCCTTGGCGCTACAGTTCAGTTAGCACCTATATAATAATAAAACTATCAGTAGTACTATAGGGGTATTAGTATTAACAAGGGAGTAGTACTATTAATAAGGCAGTACTAACTAGGGAATAATATAAGATAAGCGAGTAATACTACTATATACTCACGCTTTAGTAGTAATAGTTACCTAGATTATAGTAGATAATAGATTATATAATAGATCCCTAGATCCCTAGATCCTCTTATAAGAAAACAGATCTAAGGATCTAAGGATCTAGTATTCTAAGGGATCTAAGGCGAATAAAGGTTCTATATAAGACTAGTATATCTACTATTAGATAAGAGCTTTATACTTAACTTCAAATAGTATTCTAATACTTAGTAACTATCTTCTATCTATATAATATACTTATCTCTCGATTATTAGAGATTAACTATAGCTTTCTATATTTATAATAAGTAAATACCGGACTATTATATTTTAAGTACCTTTTTATTAGAGGTACTGACTTATAAAGATAACATGTCCTCTATTAAAGGATCGTTATTAAGTGATAACTTAGCTACTACTAGGACCCTTAATACTAAAAACATACCTAAGATCGCCGCCCCGGATCTCTATAGTAGAGACCGATCTAAGCTTAGAGTATACCTTACATAAGTTAAGCTCTATATAAGCTTTAATAGTTACTAGTTTACTATAGAGATTAATAAAGTCTTTTAAGCTTTATCCTTTCTCTAAGGATCTACTTTTAACTAAATTAAGACCTTCCTCTTAGATTATATTTAGAACTAAACTAAGGATAGGAGAGTCTCTATAGTAATAACTAAGGAATCCTAGAAGATCTTTATAACTTTTAAAGGTTTTAAGTATAGGATTAACCGCGTCTTTAGTAATATTAATTAGAACTATACTACTAAATAGAATATCTAGAACCTAAAGTAAGTCGGGTTAGTAACTATATATACTACTACCTTCTAGTAATTTACGAATTAGACTAGCTAGAATAATAACACTCTTTAGGTATAGTACTATAAAGAGTTAAAAGATAGAGTAAAAGATAAGATAGTAAGATCAGACACGCCTACTAACTTATAAGAACTTATTAAGATAGCTATTAAGATTAATAACCGGAATTATAAGAGGGTATTCGAAAAGAAAAGCTAATACTACTTCGGAATATATATATACTAAGGAAGAGAGAGTAATAATAAGAAACTATTCTACCCTTAGGAAATAAAACTCGATATAATGTTCCGGAAACTAAGTTATTAAAGGAAGCTACGTAGTAGCAGGTTATCTAAGAAAGTTATAAGTAAGTAATAGGAGAA